GGCAACCTTCGGCACGCAGCCCATCAGGGTAATCCGCTGGTGGGCCACGAGACATTTTGTTTACGTTGACCGTCCACAGGCACAGCCCCCCGCAGATCCCAGTGGCCACGGTTTGCCGTTCTTGGACAATGGGAGCTTCGGGAAGTGGTGTGGGCCGCAGGGACATGCTGGCTGCTGCTTCCCGCAGCCTCATTGGCCGGGAACGGCGAACCGTAGCCACCGGGAGCTGCAAGGGGCCATGCCTACAGATGGTCAATGTAAAGAAAATGTCTCACAGCCCACCAGCGGATTACCCTGATGAGCCACGGACTGACGGTTGCTGACCCCTGATCTAGACCCTGCTGCAAGTCATCACTTTGCCAAGCTATCCTTTTGCAACTCTTCAATTTTTTGCAACAGATCAGTTTATTCCACACCCCTAAACATTTTTGTGAGCATGCTAGATATTTTATATCCAAATCACAGAAGAAACAATTTGGCTACAATGTTTGCCTTCAGAAAGTATGGGGTGGGGAAAGAGATTGGTTGTTTTTCTAAACTTAGAATGAAGTGTTTTTAAGTGAAAGACTGATGAGAACAGTCTTGACTTTCTTATTCTTGCCATAAGCAGATGCAGGAGGAGTCACAATGAGATACAGGATAACAGTTTGAACTCAAACACTTTGAATGCTTAGTTTTTACTGTGGTCATGAACACATGATAAACTTCCCACTCAACATTTTCAAAGTCTTGGCTATTCTCTGGGAAAACTAGTTAAAACAATAAAGGAATAAGACCTACATTATCTTCTAATTACTGTAACTTCAAAAGAGATTATTTGTTTTTTTGCCAACTATTAAAAGCAAAGTAGGTAATCACTATTAATGAGTATTCCACTACTCTTGTTATTACATAATTATAAGTCTAACTGTTACCACTAGCTGTGTTAATACTGACCACCAGTACATTCACTTAAGTCACTTAACCCTTTCCGTGTTTTTTTTTTTAATCTCTTCATTAGAGAAGGAAAAATGGCTCTCAATTTTAATTAAAAGTTCAAAACTAATCTGATCTGAAGGAATCTACACAGAATATATATTAGAAGATTTTTTTTAAAAAGATATCTGTTGCTTTCACCTTTTGATTTGATGCTTTGTACATTTTTGGAGGGACATAAGAACAACCATACTGGGTCAAGACCAATGGTCCCTCTTGCCCAGTATCTTGTCTTCTGACAGTGGCCAATGTCAGGTGCCCCAGAGGGAATGAACAGAATATGGAATCATCAAGTAATCCATCCTGTCACCCATTTCCAGTTTCTGACAACAGAGGCTAGGGACACTTCAAAACATGGTTATGCATCTCTGCCCATTCTGGCTAATAGCCATTGATGGACCTATCCTCCATGAACTTATCTAGTTCTTTTTTGAACCCTGTTACAGTCTTAACCTTCACAACATCCTCTGGCAACGAGTTCCACAGGTTGACTGTATGTTGTGTGAAGAAATACTTCCTTTTGTTTGTTTTAAACCTGCTACCTATTAATTTCATTTGGTGGCCCCTAGTTCTTCTGTTATGAGAAGGAGTAAATAATACTTCCTTATTTACTTTCTCCACACCAATCATGATTTTATAACCTCTATCATATCCCCCCTTTGTCATCTCTTTTCCAAGCTGAAAAGCTCCAGTCTTATTAATCTCTCCTCATATGGAAGCTATTCCATACTCAATCATTTTTGTTGCCCTTTTCCATATCTTTTGCAATTCCAATATATCTTTTTTAAGATGGGGCGACCACATCTGCACACAGTATTCAAAATGTGGGTGTACCATGGATTTATAGAGAGACAATATGATATTTTCTGTTTTATTAGCTATCCGTTTCTTAATCATTCATAACATTCTGTTCGCTTTTTTGACTGTTGCTGCACATTGAGTGGATGTTTTCAGAGAACTATCTACAATGACTCCAAGCTCTCTTTCTTGCGTGGTAACAGCTAATTTAGACCCCATCATTTTATATATAGAGAGAGTTAGGATTATGTTTTCCAACGTGCATTAGTTTGCATTTATCAACACTGAATTTCATCTGCGATTTTCTTGCCCAGTCACCCAGTTTTGTGAAATCCCTTTGTAATTCTTTACAGTCTGCTTTGGACTTGAATATCTTGAGTAAATTTGTATCATCTGCAAATTTTGCCACCTCCCTATTTACCCCTTTTTCCAGATCATTTATGAATATGTTGAACAATACTAGTCCCAGTACAGACCCCGGGGGGACAACTATTTACCTCTCTTCATTCTGAAAACTGACCATTTATTCCTACCCTTTGTTTCCTATCTTTTAACCAGTTACTGACCCAGGAGAGGACCTTCCCTCTTATCCCATGACAGCTTACTTTGCTTAAGAGTCTTTAGTGAGGGATCTTGTAATAATTTAATGCAATATTCTCCATTTATAAATGTCCTGTAATAGCTTTATAAATAAAATATTTATAAAGCAGGTCAAGTCTATGGAATTCAGCAATACAGCAATAAGTAAAAAGTCTGCAATGAGGCACTGGTGGAAATGCATTGACCAATAACACTTCCATGTATCCAAACAATTTTACATATTTATAGACTTACAAAGGGAGCACTCACTATGATTTAATACATTTCTGTTTGTCATCATGATGACAAGACTTGGCAACCAGTCCACAAAATGGAATCTGGTCTACTTTTGAGGACGCTTTACATAGTTCCTCTCAAACAAAGCATGAGCACAGCAACCACAGATAGAATTTAGGAGGTACAAAGGGGAAGACAGAAATTTAGTTATGTAAAGATGTGGCTGTTCTTACAGACCAAGATAGAAAATGGTTACGTTTTAACTATGAGGTGAGAAAATAAACCAAGACTAGCTTGTCCCTCTCTCTCTCCAATTTAAGGCCCCAGGTTTGATTCATAAATTCCAAGACTGTGGATACACTGGCAAATAAGGACCCACAATTCAATACTGGTAAGGTTCCACCAATGTAGCAAAAATGGAAGCAGAGGTATAGATGGTGGTAAAAATCCCTGAGCCCTTACCACAGTACAGCTTCCACCAAGGCTACCACCAGTGGAGCTGCATCAGTGGTGTATTATGGCCCTAATCACAGAAATGTAGGGCAGGAAAGGACCTCTAGAGGTCATCTAGTCCAGCTCCCTGCACTGATGATGCTAGTTTAGACAAGGCCTTAAAAGCTGAGACTGCATTACCTCTAACAGTGGCGTGTTTGAACGTGGTCAATTTGAACAGCTAACATCTTTTCTAAAATGGCTTTTTCAACAGATATCTTTGTGGAGTTGGAGTGCTCTTTTTCCAACTTGTATATAGGAAAAGCCAATATACAGTTTTGTTATAAGTTAGTTTACAAAGAGTGAAAAGAATGCATCATTATGATGAAAAAGTTGATAGAAATATTATAAGGACAACATCCTTAACAGGATTTCAAATCACAACTTCTAAAATGTTAAGACACTATCCCTTAAGCAACCTTTTTTAGTTATCCATAGAGATTTACAGGAATTAGTCAGCTACATGCCAGCTATCCTACTATTCCCTGAATACAACAGACAGTTACAAATAAATAACTTTAGAAGTTGCATGTAAGGGCTATATTCATTACTCAACCTATTCCCTAGCTCATATGCATATAGAGAGAGAGACTATAGATATACTGTATGACTGTTTTTACCACAGTAAGGAAGCAGCAAACTGGTCCTGGCTGATCATGCAATAATGCCATGATTACACTATGGGGCTTCAGAAACAATCATAAGTTTTGTGGATAAAGCACAAAATAAGAAGCCAACAAGAAGCACGTTTAAGTGCAAGGATTAAAAAAACGGAGGAGAAAATTTTGAATTTGCCAAAAATAAATCAGGCATAAGTATTTAAGACCAACGAGCAGTTTGTTGCACTTTCCAACATATGAACAGCATCCAAACGATGCTACTTTGTATTTATCTTTTTAATGTGCTAATTTGTGATAAAAGTGATAATATGATTTTACAATATAGAGATTTGTTCACATGGAAAATTCCGTGTTGAAATCAAAGTTAGAAGAGATTCTGTTTGTGCACATATTAATCATTTATATGATTCAATGATTCTGGAATCATTTTGGCTAGTGAAACAGGCTTAAATATTTCTCGAGAGAGAAAGAGGCAGGTTTACATATCCATGGTTGTAGCAAATTGGAAATTCAGTAGCATTCTAGTCATTTATAGTAAAAATTGACACACACAATCATCATAAAAACAGTGAATAACATCCTTCATGAAAGCTGAAGGAGCAAGAATTTTTTTCCACATTTCATTTCCCTATATGCTATAAATAAAAAAATAAAAAAATAAATAAAGAGGACAATGAAAATGTAAAACAAAGCTTCTTGCTTCTGCAGCTTTCACCAAATATGCTACCAACCCCTCCACCCCCACTCCCCATAGATAGGGATTTTTGGTGGGTTGTTTTTGTTGGGAGGAGCGGGTAGACTGTCGTCTTTTTCTGGATCTCAGATGTTAATGTACATTGATCCACTGTAGATCCAATACTGCTCTCAGACCTCCAAGAGGTCTTTGGAACAATGATGCGCTGAGATTATAACTAGGAGATTTCTGATCCTACTCCTCCCCTCTGCACTCCCATTCTATTTGCTCCACTAAGATTGTTAGTAATTTTAAGATTACTAAAACATGTTTTCTCAAAGAGTTTCTAGACTGCTTATTAAACAGTACAATGAAGGAGACAATACAGGGTACCGGAAAATATGGAAGGAAAATGGTACAAATACAAAACCTACATTGCAACTGGCTGCCATCTGCCCAACAAGACTGATGACAGCGTCTCAGTTTGCAATGGTAAAAAATTAGAGATTTTTTGTAAATAGCCTTATAAATGTTTACATAAAAATCTTTAAGAAAATTAAACTCAGAATTAATTCACAACAAATCCCAATATTTTAAATTTTAAATAGATTTGTATGAGAAATTACCTCTTCTTTCAGTGCATGTTTCTTCTGCTCCAAACAGATTTCTTTAGCTCTCATCAGCTGCAGAGTCTCCTTAGAAACTGCATACTGCAACTTTTCCATACGTTCTACTGCTGCCGCCCATGCTGCCTTACCAAACCTTTTCTGATCTGCTCGCATTCGATCATACACAGCTGTAAAAGAAAAACAGAGCTCCGTTAATACAGATAAAATACATGAAATTTGATGTGCTGTTAAATTTCATATACAATTTGTTAGCGCTATCACAATTCCTATAAACACATCAACAATTTCTGCAATAGTAATTTCTGCATGATTTCTGCAACGACACAATCTCCCCAGAACTATCATTCTCCATTATACTTCTGCTTCTGACCACTGTAGACACAGTTTGAAATTTAGTAAAATTTTAGAAACCGAGTTTGTTTCAAATTTCTGTTTACTTTGTTTGAGGCACTCGCCAATGTTAAGTTTCCAGGTATATCATCGTACTCCATAGTTCTGCTGCCACAAAAAACCACCCACTGACAGAGAAGCTAAGCCTTTAAAATAAACAACAAGAACAACAGTGTAAAACATACTCACCTGAACTAAATCGGAACTGGGAGGGACATAACAGTTTTCAAGTACATAAAAGGTTGTTATAGAAGGTGATAAATTGTTCTCCTTATCCACAGAGGACAGGACAAGGGCTTAAATTGCAGCAAGGGAAATTTAGGTTAGACATTAGGAAAAACTTCTCAACTGTAAGGGTAGTTAAGCACTGGAACAAATTACATAAGGAGGTTATGGAATCTCAGTCTCTGGAGATTTTTAAAAACACGTTAGACAAACGTTTCAGGGATGATCTACATCAGGGGCTCCCAAACTTTGGTATGCAAACCCCCTGGAACGCCCCCTCCCCCGGACATCTCTGGGGGGTATACAGGAAAAATTACGTAATGGTGGATTTATTATTTTATTTACTACATTTTCCTAATAGGCTAACCTTAAAGCTTTAAAACTCTGTGGGAATTTGTTACATAAAATACGGTAGTTAATTTACTTCAAGATGTACCAATGAGAACACAGATATACAGAGACGCTGATGTAGAAGCCCTCACCTCCAATCACCGTACAGCCTGGGTTCAGTTGCCCAGCAACTGTTCGGTCTAAACAAAAACAACTGATACAGACTAACACGGCTACCACTCTGAAAAGCTGTCCAGTCTAACCGAGCTCAAAATTTAGTCAGGGGCTTTTTTTTGGTTGTATACGTCACACTATAACTATATCTGTACGTAACAGTGAAATATGGACAAATGGCTAAAGACCAGTAGTATCAGTGCGGAGAAGAGTAGGGGTACATGGGCAGCTAGTAGATCTGCAAGTGGGTATGACCGAGTGCCTGGGATGGATCACACTGAGAATGTCACACTCAGGGCAGACTGCAAGAAATAGGGCAGGCAATCCCCAAAGCTGGTGGTTTATTCTATAATTAGATTCACCAAGCTAGTAATAAAACAGCTTCTGCATTACCACACGGGTTAACCAGAAGCCAAAACACAGTCCCCTTTAGACATTCCAGCCAAGTCTAATATAGTAAGAAGTTATTGAAAATCCATTTCACCATATGTGAGGTTCTTACTAATCCCAAAGGATCAGACACTTATCCCCAGGTCAATATGTATCTCAAATCTTACTCAAATATCATGTTGTCAGCCAATCTTTAGTAAACTAATGAAAGATTTATTAATAAAAGGAGAGAGATAAATGGTTAATAGATCATATACATACAAAAATGATTGCAAAAGTTCTTATAACAGGTTTGTAGCAGTGACAGAATAGACTGCTGGCTTGCAAAAGTCTCTGGTAACTTCCAAAAGATTGGAAGGTTCTCAGTCCATAGTTCAAGATGCTCCTTTTACTGTAGTTGTAAATCTACAGTCCAGAGAATTAGAGCAGGAAAGAAGCAAAATGGAATTGTCTCATGTGTCTTTTCTATTCTTTGCCATGTGCATGGAAATTTACTGTCCCAAATAAATCCCACAGCCCCTATGTATGGAAAGTTACTGGCCCAAGATGGAGTCCAGGGTCACATGAACATATCACATGCCCCTATATGTTTTGCTGAATCACAAGGGGTGGCCATTGGCTCCTCGCTGTCTGAGGCATCCACAGGAAGACCTACTGAGCGGGATGAGTTTCTTCAATGGGCCATATGAGAGAGTGGAGTGACCTTAATGGGCCATAAATATATAGCTCAGGGGTGGCCAAACTTACTGACCCTCCGAGCCGCATACGATAATCTTCAGAAGTTCAAGAACCAGGCGCATCTGCCGGGCTCCTGTCCTGTGGCAGGGGTCTTGGGGCTTCAGCCCTGCAGTGGGGCGGGGGGCCTTAGGGCTTCAGCCACATGGGAGGTGCAGCTGGGGCTCGGGGCTTCTGCACCGCTCCTGCTGAAGCCCCAACCCCAGACAGGCATCTCCCATGGGGCTGAAACCCTGAGCTCCCTGCCCCAGTCTGGTAGGCAGAGAAGGGGTGGGTGGGGGCTGCGAGCTGCATTTTAACTGTAAAAAGAGCCATATGCAGCTCGCGAGTCGCGGTTTGACAACCTCCAACATAGGTTTACATTAGGGCTAGACAGCTATCTGGGGGAAGTCCTCCAGGAATACATGTAAGATACAAGTACATAGCCAATATTCATGACTTCAGATACAAATATGATATGCATATAAAGAAGATAATCATACTTAGCAAATCATACCTTTTCCATTGATGTTTTATATGCCATACTTTGTACCAGATTTATGGAAATTGTTTAACAGTGGTAACAACAGTGATATAAATGGTCACCTTTCTTATATACACAGCATCACTGGCGGTACGCAGGCAGCTGATTGATCTGGCAGTGGATACACAAGAAAAGTCTAGAAATCTCTGATCTAAATAATACTTTGTCCTGTTTCAGTTCAGGAGACTGGACTAGATGACCAACGAGGTCTCTTCCAATCCTACATATCTAGGATACCTCCAGGGCCCTACATTTTAGCTTTACTGGTTGCAAAGAAAACTTTGTGAACTGAATGATAGAGACTCAAGTCTGTAAACAGCCTGAATAATATCTTTAAAATAAGTGTGAGCTTCCACATTTACCTACTGAGTGTTATCTTTGAGCCCTTATAATGGCAATCTAAATGCCAATATTGTTTCACTGCTAATCATTTAAGCACAATGGTGCAAACTATCTCCAGAGGGAACCACCACCTGCCCCCATCCCAACTCCCTCCCAAATAGCAATATGTGAGGGGAAATATAATAGCAACTTCCTGGTATTTATTTAGGTTGAGGCCCCTGATTGAACAGAAATATCCAGCTGATGTGTTTAGCCTATAATTCTAAACTGCCTCCCATATGTTCCCAACCGCTAAGAGTCTCAAATGTCACCTTCTACCTACCAAAGCCTCCAGCTTCCCTTGATAACTTCTTGCAGTTGTGTGTTCAATACAAATCTGCAGCACTAAGAAAACTAAGAATTATGGGGCAACAAAATTACATTTTAATATTAAATTTAACACCTCAATAAATATTGTACTGACTATGTATTTAATGTAACAAAACATTTTATTTTAAAAGTTGAAGCTGTTGGAAAATCCAGATTCCTTGCCAAAGAATTAGGTTCAAGTTAACCATACAGAATACAGGAAGACCTGGTGATAACCAGATGAATCTGAATTTCTTCGGGAACCTTCCAGGATAGCAGAAGTCCCTTGCCTGATCAAGATTAGAACTCATTTATCTTGAGCACCAACCACTACTTGGGCTGAGACAGATAAGCCATTCACCGATTTAAACCATGCAGGGCAATTACATGACATTATTTGAACACTTCTGCTACGCAAAACTCACTGAAATTCAGGAGTCCACAGATGAAGCATTCAGTCTCCAGGGCCCAGATCCTCAAAGGAATTTAGGCCTAAATCTGGGCCCAGGTGTTTAATGCAGTGGTACCCTCAGTAAGGGATAGCTGTTGAATGGCAAGCTAGTTGGTTACTCACACCTTGCTTCCTCACTCAGTAACAAAATCTGTCCTTATTTTTATTATTCTTAGAATTACCATAGCACCTAGGAGCCCTAATCATATATGAGGATCCCATTGTACAAATATGAACAAAAAGAGCTGCCCCAAAGACCTGACAATCTAAATATAAGACAAGAGACAACAGAGGGATGGATGGATGCAGTGTTGTAACTATGCCAGTCCCAGGATATTGGAGACAAGGTGGGTGAGGTAACATCTTTTATTGGACTACTTTCTGTTGGTGAGAGAGACAAGCTTTTGAGCTTACACAGAACTCTTCTTCGGATCTGGGAAACCTATTCAAAACATCACAACTAAATACAAGGTGAAACAGATTGTTTAACGTAAGTAATTAACACATTTTTTCAAGGGACCATTCTAGCTACTTCACCTACATTGAGGGCAAATAAGTCACAGGAAAACATTTTTCTGACAGTCTTGTCTATACTTCACAGTGCACTTATTTAACTAAATAATGTTTTTAAAAATTCACTGTCGTTAAACAAGTTTAACCCTTGCTTAAATCAGCGTAGCTTGCATTGGTAAGATACTGACTTAAGCTAAATCAATACAAGGAAGGCCCAATTTAAGCATGTCTATGTTAGGGTTTAACTAGAGTGACTTTTAAATTGATTTAGCTAAACTGGTGCATTTTCTAGTATAGAAAAGGCCTTAGTTACATCAGGGCAGACTTCCAAACAGCAGATACCTTTTGCAGATGAACCTGGGTAAAGTATTCTCTGAATAGTGTAGCAAGATAGGTACAGTTATGTAAGGTCTAACTGATGAGAGAAAGGAACAAGAAAAGCTGAGTCAGATGAAAGAGTGAGACAAAATTGATATTATGGTTGCCACCTGCCTGAAAAAGAAGAAAATCCTGCAGGAATTCTAGTCTGCATGGGGGGTGCCCTAATCACAAAAAGTGCTGCTGTGGAGGAGCACAAACACGATTGCATTGAGGGAGCATTTTTGTTTGCTATTGTGGGTGTTTGAGAAGGAGGACCGATTAAAGAGAGAGATGGACAGGCAGAAACAGGATGAAAGAAAAAAAGAACGAAAGCTCCAGTTTCCTCTAAGGGAAAAGAAAAGCACAACAACACAGACTCACAGACTTTAAGGTCAGAAGGGACCATTGTGATAATTGATTCTAGTCTGACCTCCTGCACGTTGCAGGCCACAGAACCTCACCTACCCACTCCTTTAATAGACCCCTAATCTCTGGCTAAGTTACTGAAATCCTCAAATCATGATTTAAAGACATCAAGTTACAGAGAATCCACCATTTACTCTAGTTTAAACTTGCAAGTGACCCATGCCCCACGCTGCAGAGGAAGACGAAAAAACCCCAGGGTCTCTGCTAATCTAACCCAGTGGATAATTCCTTCCCGACCCCAAATATGGTGATCAGTTAGACCCTGAGCATGTCGGCAACACCTACCAGCCAGACACCTCGGAAAGATTTCGCTGTAGTAACTCAGAGCCCTCTCTGTGTCCCGTTACTGGCCGTTGGCAACATTTGTTGCTATCAGTCACAGATCGGCTACATGCTGTTGTGGGCAGTCTCATCATAACATCCCTCCATAAACTTATCAAGCTCAGTCTTGAAGCCAGTTAGGTATTTTGCCCCTACTGCTCTGTTTGGAAGGCTGTTCCAGAACTTCACTCCTCTGATGGATAGAAATCTTCATCTAATTTCAAGCCTAAATTTGTTGATGGCCAGTTTATATCCATTTGTTCTTGTGTCCACGTTGGAGCTTAACTTAAATAACTCCTTTTCCACCCTGGTATTTATCTCTCTGATATATTTAGAGAGAGCAATCAGATCCTCCCTCAGGCTTCTTTTGGTTAAGCTAAACAAACCCATCTCTTTGAGTCTCCTCTCATAAGGTAGGTTTTTCCATTACTGGGATAATCCTAGTAGCCCTTCTCTGCAGCTGTTCCAGTTTGAATTCATCTTTCTTAAACCAGAATTGCACACAGTATTCCAGATGAGGTCACACCAGTGCCTTGCACAGTGATACTAACACTTCCCTGTCTCTATTGGAAATACCTCGCCTGATGCATCCTAGGACTGCATTAGCCTTTTCCACAGCCACACCACACTGGCGGGTCATAGTCATCTTGTGATCAACCAATACATCCAGTTCTTTTTCCTCCTCTGTCACTCCCAACTGATACATACCCAGCTTATAGCAAAAATTCTTCATTAGTCCCTACATGCATTACCTTGCACTTTGCTCTATTAAATATTATTCCATTTCTATTACTCCAGTTTACAAGGGCATCCAGATCTTCTTGTATGATATTCCAGTCCTCCTCTATATTGGTAATACCTCCCAACTTTGTCTCATCTGCACATTTTATTAGCACATTCCCACTTTCTGTGCCAGTAATAAAAATGTTAAATAAGATTGGTCCTAAGACCGATCCCTGAGGAGCCCCCTCCCTCCAGCCTGACAATTCACCTTTCAGTATGACCCATTGTAGTCTCCCTTTAACCAGTTCCTTATCCACCTTTCAATTTTCATACTAATCCCCATCTACTCCAATTTAACAAATATTTTCCCATGTGGAACCTTATCAAATGCCTTAGTCAAATCCAGGTAGATTAGATCTACTTAATTTCTGTTGTCTAAAAATCAGTTATCTTCTCAAAAAAGGAGAGCAGGTTGGTCTTGCACAATCTACCTTTTGTAAAACCATGTTGTATTTTATCCCAATTACCATTAACATCTATGTCCTTAACTACTTTCTCTTTCAAAATTTGTTCCAAGACCTTGCATAGAACTGGGATCAAACTAACAGGCCTATACTTTCTCGGATCATATTTTTCCCCTTTCTTAAAAAAAGGAACTATTAAAATTCAACTTAGATTTCAAATAACCTTTATGTGAAAAAAATAAAGACAGTGGAAAATGGTTACCTTTCTGTGCTTTGGCTGTTATTTCGAAGTACTTAACAGTAAGATCCTGAATAGAAAGGACAGCCATGTGGGCTTTGCGCTGCCAATCTGCATCTTCTTTTTGTAGGCTCTCAATCCTCCTGGGGCCTAGGTAATCATTCTCTATGGAGATCTGAAAATAAATCAGTCCATCATCAACATCAACAAATTACATTTTGTCAATGGCCGCTAGTTGCAGTCAACCTGGGTGGATAAAAATCAATGAATTAATCAATGGATTAAAAAATAGAAAAAAAAAACCTTTAAAATGCTCATCTATGCTGAAAAAAGACAAGTGTAGGGCCTCACTAACATTCTTACTGTGAGAACAGAAACTCAAAACAAAAAGTAGGTAAACAAATAGCCCATACTATATTGCACCAAAGCCACCTTCGACAAGTCAAAATAGCTTAAATGCTTCAACCAGGCAGGCTATACTCCCAGTGAAGGTTTTCAGTCTGAAGTCAATGCAAGTTCTACTCTGAGGTAGAAATAGGCACAATTTTTCAGCAAATTGCTTATTTGCCAAAAATTGCAGCTTCAATTGATCCTGAACGGTTAGAGATTGTTTGTAGAGTTCACAAAAGTGTTCACCAAACCAAAAAAAAAAAAAAAAAAAAATTTTAGAAAAAGTTAAAAAAAAAAGTTCTGTTTCAAACCATTTCAAGACAATTTTGTTTAGATTTTTGACATTTTGACAAAAGCCAAAGAGGATTATTTAAAAAAATGCTTCGAGGGAGGGGTTTTGAGGTGGAGGAGGACCTCCCTTATAACTTTTAGCTCACTGATTAGAGTACTCTAGGATGTGGGTTCAATTCCCCCCTTATGCCGGACACAAATAATAGGTTAATTGACTTGCTAAGCTCCCAAAGTCAGTCTTTGGCCAAGCCAGAAATTAAACCCAATTTCACAGTCCAGTACTCTATACATTAACTATTCTTCCTCCCCAACTGACTTTTCCACCAGTAGCAAGAGTTTCTACAGGCCAAATTAAGTCTTTATTTACACAAATTTGCCTTTATATTGTGCCTTGCAGTAATACCAGTGTATTGCCATTGCATTCAGTGGGCTTGTAAACAATTCTGTTCCCCCCATCCCCCAATTTGATATAAGAGGAGTTGATCTGGACTGTGGGTCCCACCAGAGGGGAAGGTCTCTGGCCTGTCCCACAACCCATTAGGTGGGCCAGCAGAGACTGCGGGGGATTGTTCTCCTTTTCCCCATGCTGGCCTGTGATGAGGTTAGCCAAATGAACAGCAGGTTTGTGCCACTAACAAAAGGAGACAAACCGAGGACTGCCGAAAACCTCTGAGGCGAGCAAATCCACCAGAAAGCGTAGAACCCACCAAGGCAGAGGAGGAACTTTGTCACAGGGAGCATAGTATATCTATGATAAAAGGCAGTATTACTGAAGAAAAATATATAGTTTTATATGTAGGGGGTGTTTTGGCACAAAAGTTATCAAAGCTACTTCAGTGCACTCCTGCAACCAGAACACCACTCAGACCTGACTTTGGCTTGGTTGATATAATAGCAAGTGAGAATGTATTTCAGCTCCATTCTCCCTCCAAAGACTATTATTAAAAACCTGTAGAACCAGCTGTAACATAGCTATACTTCCAAAGATATTTTCAAAAATGTATTAGGACTACACACTCCCTCTATCCATTCTAAATAAGTTATCTAAACTGTGAAATGAACTTGGGCTTTTAGGCTCTAACTTCTTGAATGCAAAGATGGAACTGAACATTGATAAATCCAAATTTTTCCTCCAATATAGATTACTTTGTAATTTCTCATACTTTACAGAGTTCTAAATTTGTTTGGGTGGGGTTTTTTGTTTGTTTGTTTTTTTTACAAGCACACAGAGTCAACATTCACTACGGTCCACAATAATGCATAGATCCCTTTCCTGACTTGATACAGCTAACAAGATATTAGGATGAACAAAGAATGGAAATGGAGACTCAAACAGAAGATATTATAACTCCATTGTATAATTAAATGTTGCACCATCATATGGACTCTGTATGCAGTAGTGGTCACCATCTCAAAAAGAATTATTGCAGAATTAAGTGGAGGGGAATCAAAGAAAGGGGAGAATGATTAGGATATGAAAGAGCTCTCATGAAAAGTGAGAAGATTAGGACTGTTTATCTTAGAAATGGAGATGAATAAGAAGGAACATAAAACTGTATACAAAATTATATTTAAAACACTACATTAAGAAAGTTAAACTTGCAAAGTCAAGTTCTCATAGTTTAGGAACTGCCAGAATTAAGGCTGTCCATGCAACTTTAATTCTGTCCCCCTTGTGTTTATGAATTATGATGGAGGAGTCTCTGTCTTTAGTGACATGATCATATACTATTTTTTCATTCAGTGAATGTGTAGTTATTCAATATTCCTTTTTATCCTACTGATTCAAAGCATGGCCCCCAACCTTATTTAACATATACCATCCAAACCCTGTGCTGAATACAAAATTATTAGTTTCCTGCTGGGTATTTCTATCATGTTCTCACCAAGTGCTTCACAAACCTTAATTAATTTATCTCCACAACATCCCTGTGAGAACAGGTGGTGATATCCCCTTGGGGATAATGATGCTGACTTCCTTTGTAAAGTGCTTTGAGATCTACTGAAGAAAAGTGCCATGTTAGACTCCAGTTGCAAGGGCTCAGCACTTCCGCAAATCTGGCCACACATGTCTCACACTGGGCACCCAGGAAACGAGGAACACAATTAACGACTGTCTGTGAAAAGTTTGGTTGAAGTGACTTACCCAACATCACACAGGAACTCTGTGGTAGAAGCAAGGATAGAATCTAATTCTTCAGGGTGGCACTTAATTTCCTTAACCAGCAGGCCATTCTTTCTTCCTACAATCCCATCTCATTCACTACACACCTTCCAACTTCTGCAACAAATGAAGCAGAGTTCCTACAGACAATCTCATTCACTACACAACCCTGATTGGCTGTCATCCTGTGCACTGAATAAGGCAAGGGTTCGTTCGGGGTGGAGCGGAGAGGAGGGATGGGGAAATAGATCATATAATAAAAAGATCATAATGCACGCGCACACACACAGGCAGGCCAAATTAAGGTTCCATCAGCAACATTTCAGATTCTGAAGGGAGCGTACTCTGGTGGTTAGAGCATTAAGCCCATGTGCCCCATAGCCTGTCTTTGTCCACCAGCTCTTCTATTTATTCCAACCCAGCTCCTGCCTCCTCTCTTCTTTTACAACCTACCCCCCTTCCCCCAAACCAGCTCCAGTCACCTCTTCCTATCTGTTGACCCCATCCTATGGTTCCTGGCCAACCACACTCTCTGCTACTTCTTGCCATCTAGCTTCTGCAACATTCCTGCTGCCACCAACACTTCTCACCCCTCTGCTTTCCAGTCAAGATGTTTCCTCCACGCTGCCTGAACACCAGCAAGGAGAACAATGAGAACAATGCTTCTCCATTCTGCTGGGAGCAGCCCCTGCAACCTTCTGCAGGAGCATATTCAGTGCAGGCAGGCTCTTCGCAGCATGTGGCTGCCACACTAAGTGTTCACTCAGCATGTGTAAATCAAGATTTTCAGAGGCTCATAACTTAGGCAAAAGCACATTTCTAACACCAGGTCAACTCCCTGCCCAATTTCAGGTCCATGCACCAAACCATACAGGTGCTAACAGCTTCTAAATGAAAATATTGGAAGATTTCATTTTAACATGGGGGAAAAGAACAAAGCAGCCCACAACCAATCTGGGAGCTCCTGGGCATCACCAGAGAAGCTGTAGTGAGGGGGAGGGAGGATGGGAGGAGGAAAGGGTTACTTACTGTACCTGTGGGTCAAGATGTGATGCAGACATGTATTCCAGGTAGGTGTGTGTGCTCAAGAGCTAGACACTTTTGCCTAGCAGTACCCATAGAGGGGCAGTGCTCAAAGCCCTGGAGCACCCACTGAAAAAAAGTAGTTGGTGCTTACCACTCACTGGCAGCCTCCTGCCTGCTGGCAGCCCCACCGATCAATTCCTCCCCCTCAGCGCCGCCCATTCACTGCGGATCAGCTGTTCCGTGGAGTGCAGGAGGCGCTGGGAGGGAGGGGATGGGGTGTGCTCGGGGAGGGTGCGGAACTGGGCAGGAAGAGACAGGGCAGGGGTTAAATGTGGGCAGGGGGTTGGGGGAAGGGGATAGATGGGGGCAGGGCCTGGGGTGGAGCAGGGGGTTGAGCACCCCTGGGGCCCGGAGGAAGCTGGCGCCTATGGAACCAGTCAGTGATTCTGAGACAAAGTAGGGAGGATACCAGATAGCATGACCATGCGGAACTCACATATTTGATTAAATTGTTGAGTCCGGAGAGGTCAAGGATGGGTATCATCCCACTCTTGGATTCCAATAAGGCTGGCAATTAAAAAACCCAAATAATTGGGAATCCATTTTAAGAGCTTAATTTTGCATAGGTCATAAAGAAAGCGTAAGAACTAGGTTCGTACAGCATTAGACAACAGGAAAGATGAGCAAAAGCAGCCAATAGGCTGAAGAGCAAATATTCAACTATTTGTGGCCAAATGGAATAAGTAGATAAAACTATATCCACTTAGAGTTTCACCTGCTTACACCAGGTCCAAATTTTGTCTGGAATGTTTTACGCACAAGCAACTTACTACAGTAAAGGTCAGCCAGTTTCTTATATAGTAGGGTGTGTAAGAATAAGATCGTTTGTTCTTCCTTCTCTTGAATGTAAAACTGCTGCTTGGTAATCTACACTTGTGAATTTGTTCTAAATCACTGATTACGAAAGAAAAATTTCAAACAATATGCCCTAATAAAGGAAGACAATTAAACTGATGAAAATGGTCTTTGGTGCAAAGTGAGTTTGAATTGAATAAGCAATTGCTGCACAGTATCTGTCAACAACACCATCCAGGAAGAAAAATGTTGATTTCCAATATTCCATGCAGAGTTCATATGAGTTAACAAAAATCAGAATTAAGCATGACGTACACTAGATTTCCACAAGTTCATACAATAGTATGATTGTATATTATCATAGTACAGTTCATCAATAAAGCTGTCACAAAGAGCAGGTACATAGAATCATAGAACTGGAAGGGACCCTGAGAGGTCATCTAGCCCAG